AAGTTGAACATAGTGAGATAAGATCAGTAAGGAAGCTGGGCAGCCAGATGACTTGTATATTAATACCCCAGTGCAGGACAGCCAGCACACCCATGCAAAGGGGTGTGGCCTGATATTCACACGAATCTCACAGAAAGGACACTTCCAGGCCTTGAGTGGTATTAATACATCCTCTTAGATCTTGGCCATTATGATGCCATCTTTAATACATCTGAAAGACCTGAGGTGAAGTTCCTTCAGGAGCTCCAAAAGTAATCATAACTCAGCCCTGCTCCGGGAATTCTTTCTAGCTTTTCTTCTGAGCTTGCATATGTTTTGACCATGCCACCTTCCTATTCTAAATTACAGAAAGCTAATTCTGAAATTGTGAGGATTCTTCCTTCATTACCAAAAATCACGAATTACTTTTCCTACAGTTAGAAATGATCCTAGTAGTACCTCCACTACTCTTATAAAAGCAGCTTAGGGTTGGGTATGGTAGCTTGCACCTGTAATCCCAGGAGTTTGGGAGGATTGCTTGAACCCAGTTCAAGACCAGCCTGAGCAACAGGGCAAAACCCCATCGCTACAAAAAATACAAAAATTAGCCAGGCATGGTGGTGCATGCCTGTAGTCCCAGCTCCTCTGGAGGCTGAGGTGGGAGGATCGCTTGTACACAGGAGTTCAAAGGCTGCAGCAAGCCATGATCATGCCGCTACACTCCAGCCTGGGTGACAGATTAAGACCTGTCTCTAAACGCATAAATAAATAATAAATAAATAAAAACAGCTTCAAATAGAAGACTGTTCGTGGAATAAGGGACTCTAGAAAAAACCCAGTACACCTCTTATTTAACAGAGCAGGAAGTCTGAAGTTCAGAGACATTAAGCAATAGTCAAAGGAGACTTAAGTAGCTGGTAGAATACATGCCAGCCACTGTCTAAGAGGTTCACCCATATAGCTCAATTAATCCTTCCAACAACCGTACAAGGAAAGCATAATTATTATCTCCAGTCTACAGATGAGAAAACTGAGCCCCAACAAGGTTAAGTTATATAGCTAAGACTGCACAGCTGGTGAGGCATAGAACCAGGATTACAACCCATGCTCTAAGCTACTAAATCTGTAAGATCAAAACCCAGAAGTCCATGGAGGGTCCTCTCCATTATGAAGAATTCTGGGTAGGCCTGGTGGCTCACACCTGTAATCCCAGCACTTTGGGAGGCCAAGGCCGGTGGATCCCCTGAGGTCAGGAGTTTGAGACTAGCCTGGCCAACATGATGAAATCCTGTCTCTACCAAAAATACAAAAAAGTAGCTGGGTGTGGTGGCATGCGCCTGTAAACTCAGCTACTCGGGAGGCTAAGGTGGAAGAATCACTTGAACCAGGGAGGTGGAGGTTGCAGTGAGCTGAGATCACATCACTGAACTGCCTGGGCAACAAGAGCAAAACTCTGTCTTAAAAAAAAAAAAAAAAATTCTAAGGCTTATGAAAGAGCTAACCACATTTGGAAATGCCTGCAAAGCTTTTTTAGATCCTGATTAGAACAAATTAACAATCAAAGATTTTTTTAAATAATCTGAGAAATGTGAAGAGCAACCTAACAAGTTGTTAATTTTATCATAATGACATTACAGTTATGTAAGAATAGATGCTGTTTTTAAGAAATATATACTAATTATAAAGAGGTGAAATGACATAAGGCCTGGGGCTCACAATCGCACATGAAAAAGAATAGAAGAGACATATGAAACAAGTTTGGCAAAATCTTGATAATTATTCAATCTGGATGATGAAATATAAAGGTTTATTATCCTATTCTATTTTTTGTATGCTTATTTTCAAGGTTTTCAAACAAATTAATACAAAATCATTCATAAAGGTCCATAAACCTGAACCCATGAAAAATGAAGTTATTGAACAATGTAAAATGGATAAGCCCATGTTATATTTACATTTTAGTTTGTTTTTAATGGAGCCTTTATCATCCACTGAACTATTTAATTTTGTTTCTGATCTCACGACCACCCACTCATCAATACTTGAAGCATGGGAAGAGCTAGTCAACCCATACATAGTTTAATATTTTTTTTTAAATCCATCTGCAGAACTGCTTTCTTAGTCAGCTAGTTAAGAATATTTATTGAGCATTTATGTCATGGGCATTGCATTAGTGCTGACCCAAGTTATCAGACACAGAGCAGAGTAGTTATTCCCATCCAGGGACAGATGCACAGACCATGGGATTCTGAACCTGGCGTAGTTGCTGCTCCACCTCCTGAGAAGTCCAGGGTTACCTTACCTCACCTCTCAGGCCTTCACACAAAAAGCCGGGCCAGAACTTATTCAGCAGGTGCACCTGCTGCGGCTCCCTGGAAGACACTGGAGCCACTAGAGGAAGTAGGCAGTGGCAAAGTACTGGGCAGGAGGTGAGGGGATGAGGTGTGTGGATAATTTTTAGTATCTGTAAGCCCTCCCAGCTTCCTCCTTCTGCAGTTCAGAACCATCAGAATGCATTTCCCACTTCCCATTCAGCCAGGGCCCCTCACATGCCGGGGTAGGCCCACTTGCTTCCCTGCATATTTCTATCTGGTCCATCACAGGTTTTATCAGACAGGAGACCACAGACAGACAAGACTAAGAGTTAAGACAACAGCCAGGCATCTGGCTCTTCATGCTTAAACGTGTCCAAGGAAAACAGATGTACTACTAAAGTGTCATGAGCTAACACAGTTGGCAGCCAGTCACACATGGGAATGGGCACTACCAGGTCACCATTAGTGGGCCATCCTCCGACGGGAAGGGCAGATATTCGCAGACTAATGCACATGAGCAGTGTTGTGTCTGCACTCCTGTGCTCTCCCTAAACGGCTTATTAAACCAGTACCTGCACCATGGAAATCACAGCACACTGGTACAGTTTACTCTTCTTCTGCCTCAAATCCCTGATGACCACGGCAGGTCCCTAGTAAAGGAACCAAGTTCCGTGTGAGAACAAAAAAGATACCAAAGAAGTTGCAGGCTTTATCCTTAACACGCACTGGCAAAAGTCAGGAAGATGCAGGAAGCCATACAGAAGGTAGTTGGTTATGGAAAAGAGAGCCAGGTTCTGGTCTGTTCCCAACTCCTGCTCTACTCCTTACCTGATCGACTTCCCTAAAATAGAAAGATTAAATCCCTGTTTACTAGGAATCAAACTGGAGTTTGAGAAATCTGGAGTGAGTTGGAAGGGCTAGCAATCTAAAGAAAATCCAAACTGAGCAAACTGAATATAGAAATCAGCGAAGCTTCATCTCCAATCTCCACAATTGTCATTCATGCAATTCTGTGTCTGCCCGGGAAGGGCATCGATCTGCCACCAAAATGATGCATCTGCCCCATCTGCCCCCGTGTTAAGGGGCCCAGCACTGTGTCCTAACAATTCCCCACACACCGCGCCACAAACCCCAGACAATAATTTCCAAGGCCCATCTTCTTGCACTGTTCCAACAAACCCCACAAGTCACACCCACCCACAAACAAGCCCGTTTCAAGAAAACAAATGCCGGCGGCAATGCAAGAAGCTAAAAGTTTCCAGCTGCCCTGCAGAGCTCGCTCCAGCTTAAACGTCGCTCCACTCCCGCACCATCCAGGTGAACCGGGTTGTAGTGCGTTTCCAAATACAGCAGGACCAGCACTGTCTGTGAAAAAGTTAATTGAAAACTTCATCTTCCTCACATCCAGAGGCCTATTCTCAAAAGACGTTCTGCCACGTGCAGATTCATTTTGGGCTGCTCGCTTTGCTTGCTTCGAACCCCCAAACGTCACAAGGATTTGCACCAAAGCTAAATTAGCGAGGGTTCCCATCAGGCCCCCAACCCTTCCTAAAAGGCGGCCAAACTTCAGGATGCCGGCTTGGAGGAGGGGCGCAGGAGAGGATGCGGAAGCTCTTCGCTCCTGGAGTTCAGCCCACCCAAAGGGTTGGCAGGGGCATCTCCACCCTGAGTCGCGGACTGGATGAGAAAGCCTCCACCTCAATTCCCCTGTGTCCCTCCAAAACACGCGAGGAGAGGGAGGCTGGGGGAGGGATGAGAGGGAGTGGGCAGAGTAATTTCCCAGTTGACAGAATGCAGGTAAATTGAGAGAAAGCTGGGTGAAAAGAGTGAAAGGGCGACGTCATTCCGCGGAAATTTCCCAGGAGGAAGGGGGCAGCGATGGGGAGAGGATCTTGGGTGGCGGGGAGGGGTCTGGGAGTTGCAGCCCCTCCAGGACCTTTTCTCCCCTGTCCAACCCCCTCCCGCCCGCTCGCTCCACCTCCTGATTCCGCGGACCCAGCAGGGTCGGCGGCTCCGCCTCAGCCCCACCGATTAAGAGGCGCCCGGCCCCAGCCCGCAGCCGCCTGAGCGCCCCCTCCCCAGCCCGCGGTCGTCCCGCACTCACCAGGAGCACCGAGCCGCGCACCACCTCAGACACGCTCTGCCGCAGCTCGGCCGCCGTGCCCGGCTTACTCAGCGCCCGGGTGAACTTCCGAGTCTCCGCCGAGGCGGGGAGCAGCGGCGGCTGCGACATCATCCCGCTCCTGCCGCCTCCGCCTCCCCTAGCTCCCGCGGCCCAACCCGGCCGCGCGGCCGCCAGGTGCGCCCTCGGCGCTGGGCCCGCTCCGCCCGTCGCTCCCCGCGCCGCCGCCGCCGCCGCCCGCTCCCCGCGCTGCTCGCCAGGCGTCCGGCAGCCGCAGCCCGAGCCGCGCCCTCTGCGCCGTGTCACGCCCGGAGGCGCCCCCCTCGGCGTCCGCGGTCTCCCGCGATCGTACCAGCGCCCGGGCTCGCTCCGGGCGACCGTGCGTGTGGCGGCGGCGGCTCCCCCATGCCACCAGCCTCCCTCGGCGACCGTTCGCCGGGCCGCCTCCTCGGGGCGGGGTGTCCGGCGCGGCGCGGGCGGGGCGGGGCGCCTGGAGGGCGGAGGAGGGGCGGGCGCGGCGGGACAGCGGGTTAGGCAGGTCGGCGCGGCCAGGCGAGGGAGACTGGCGGGGGGGACCTGCGCAGGCGGCGGGATGGACGTGGACAGCCTGCCGCGCTGGACTCCCAGCGGGGAAGGTAGGGGGTCGGGGCCGCCTCTGCTCCAAGCCGCACGTCCGAAGACCCGAGGAGAGGACCGCGCAGACCACTAAGAGGGCGCACAGTCGAGGCTGGACGAGGCGCGGTCTCGGAGCCAGGTTTCCTGCCCAGGAAGCCCGGCCGCGCGCTAGGGGACCCCGATGTCACCGGCGGGATCGGGGCTCGGTGCACCACGCCCCCTTCTGCGCCCGGGGCCACTGCGGGGACGGAGATCTCAGGAAAGTAGCCTTTATTTATGCCGCACCGATCGTTACCCCAGGCAGGGCGGACCTGAACGGAGCGCCACTGCTCGAGACCTGGTGCGGGGCGCAGCACCCTCGTGTTGGCGCCTGGGCCTCCCCACCGTTCGGTCCCTGGAGACACTGAGCTTGCGGCGGGACGTTGATGGCGGGCCAGGCGTGGGAGACTCGCAGACCCCGGCCCGCCGGGACAGCCAGCTGCGTCACCTTGGACGTGGACAAAACTTCGGAGCCTCGGTTATGTCGCCTGTAACCTGAGGACAACGGCCTGGAAGGGGCTCGGGTGACACGGGGCCGATTTGGCCGGTCTGCCGCCTCCGCGCCGGACTGCCAGGCTGGGTGCCCGGGACACCGGGATGCGCCGGCCTGCGAGCCCACCGTGACGCAGATCTGGCGGCCGCTAGTGACAGCCACCTTTCCCCCCCACACCCTTCCCGCTTTCTCGTCCCTAAGGGGCCCCCGCCACCCCGGCTCCCTTTCGTTTCTCTGAGGAAGCCCGGCGCAGCCTAACCCTGAACCGGCCGCACCAGGCGGGGATTTGCGCCAGGCCCCCCGCGCATGCTCAGTGGTTGGGGACTGGGCGGGTACCCTGGGCGGGGAGCCTGACTGAAGGGCGGCTCCGCTGATTGGCCGAGCTGCTCAGGCCACGCCCGTTGCCTCCAGACGGACAGTTCCTTACCTGCCGAGTCGGCCTCGGCAGAGCGCGGTGGCCTTGAAAGCCCAGGGATGGGAGAATCCCTGCCGCGCCTCCCGCTCAAGTACGCAGAGGTTTCATATCCGCCATCACCGCGGTGGAGGAGGCCAGCCTGTTGCGCCCCACCGCGTCAGAAAGCCTAACGCTGGCCTGAAGCGTAATCTTAAGGTGGTGGGGAAAATACTGATTTAGCGCAGAGAGCAAAACACCTCCGTTCTGGGTTGAATGGGCAGGCCTAGAGGTGAGGCATGCCGTCAGCACTCAATAATTGCTTGCAGGATTAGATTGTTTCCCCAGTGGGTGGGGACTGCAGGATGTAGCATTGAATGCGCCTGACAGATTGGAAGATAAAACTAGTAATGTGTGATAATAAAAACAATTACGCACTAACCTGTTTCCTCCTCTGTGAAATAAGGGAATGGCCTAGACATTTTCCAGACCCTCTTCTGTCCTAAGAGTGGAGCCAGGTGACAGCAGGTACAAGCTGGCCTTTCCCTGCCTTCCCCGGGAACGCACTGAAACCTTTCAGCTGCACAAGTGTGGTGGGTCAGTTCTTATCTGAACTATTGACAACAGTTGTCTTCTGAGAATCATAAATTAGAGCCTCCCTTTAGGCTTCTGACCTAAAAGGTACCAGACAACACAAACTTTTCCCCATTTATTACCTTGGCTCTCCAAGCTGTATCTACTTCTATACAAAGCGAACTATTTTACCTTTTTTAATTAAAAACAACAACAAAAGCACCTAAGGTTGTAGGGTTTTATTTTTTCTTT